TCTGACATAACTGCAGGTGACCAGTTAAAAGTCAGGAAGTTCTTGAATCTGGCCTGAATTCTGGTTTGAAATCTGGCCAGTGCCTCTAAGTTTGGTGACTTCGGGCAAGTTAACTTTGCGAAGCTTCAAACAATGTATACAAAGTGTCTAGCACACCACATGGCACCCAGTAAGAATTTAACAATCCTGATAAAAGTTAGCTGTTGCAGGGAAAGGCTAGACTTACTAAAAATTTCCCCCTGATTTCCTAGCCTCTTCTGCTGACCTGATGCTTGTTCTTCCAATCAAAACTCTGAGGTATTAAAGTGGCCTGTTATTTTAAAACAAAATTTCTGGGATTCTTTAGCTTTCTAATTAATTTTAAAATTAATTTAGTTTGTACATATAAAAGTGCTTAACATTGCCGTTAGGAAAAAGACCACAGCGTTTCTTACCGTGTTTGTCTGTATTGTCACATCACCCATGTCCCTGAAGCAGCCCCTCTCCACGCCCATAGTGTTAACATCGACACCCCAGTTTGGTGTCCCTCCCAGGACAGGTACAGTTTAAGTAGGAAGCTCTTGAAAACTTGACCATTTAAAAAATTAGAAGTGTATCTGCAATACTGAGACTTCAAGCTGCATGACAGATGGTAGGAAGAAATATTTATATGAAGTCTGTGAGTGAGGGGGAAGACATTTCTCGCTGTTGCCTGTAGTTGAACTTGCAGTTGCCGCCTGTAGGATGTGCAGGCACAGACCTGGCAAAGGCTCTGTCAGTCCTGACGGTCTTCCTCACAGCAAACAGCCGTCACTTCAGTGACTCCCTTGGGTACCGGGGTTTTCTCAGCCAGCCAGCCTCCCCCCACAGCCTCCTCCAAGAAATGTGCGTGGTTCTTTCAGGAGGGTCACAGCTGGAAATGACAGCTGAATGGCTGGAGCCGGTGCACCAGTTTCACAGAGCTGGCAGCAAACAGGCAGGCAAGCGGTGGGATGCTAGGACAAGTGGGTGAAGCTGAGGACCGGAAAGAATCTTCCCTGCGTGTTTCTGGAAGGACAGATCCATGGGGCGCATCACTGAGAGGGGGTGTGGTTAGCCGAGGGCAGCTGGTGACCAGAGAAGGGAGGTACCTCCTTTTCCTTGTACCATTTTGACAAAAGCCTACCCTGCTTATTTTTAGTAAAATGTTTCAGAAAGAAAATGTAGGAAAAGGCACATTTTTTTTTTAATTTTAAAGTACGACACGAGCAAATGGTATGATCTTTCTGCGGCCACAAATTTGTCTTCACGTCTCCTCCAGGACTCTGGGTGCGCACACGCTGGTGGGCTCCGCTGGTGTGGGAAACACTGCCACCTGCTGGGCATTCTGAGAATGTTAGTAGACCCAGTTAGCAAACCCAGTCCCAAACTGTCCCTGCGCCCTGAAAGTCAGCACCTCAGCCGTGGGAGCCGGCTTTTCCGGTGGTTCCAGGGAGGAATTACTCAACTGGCCAGAATATAGAGAAATCAGTTAGGTCTTCTTTTTAACCTTTAAGAGAACTGTATTAAATTAAAATTCCAATACTTGCTTCCTGAAATGATCTAATTTGCCCTACAGATACATTACCTCCATGACCAAATAGCACTGGATTAGATTAGAAAAGTTATCCTTTTTCTAGCTTTACCCTTACCAGCACATGGGAGAGTCTCAGTTCGATAGTTATCTATCCCATAGTTTTGTTATAAGGATTTAAAAATCTGGCACAGCCCTGACTGGTGTGGCTTGGTTGGTTGGAGCATTGTCCTGAAACCAAAAGGTTGTGGGTTCAATCTCCCAGTGTGGGCACATACAATTCCGGAACCAGGTGTATACAGGAGGCAACCAATTGGTGTTTTTCTCTGACACTGATGTCTCTCTCTCTCTCTCTCTCTCTCCCTTTCTCTCTCTCAAAGCAATAAAAAAATGTCCTCAGGTGAGGATAAAAAAATAAAAGTAAATAATAAAAAATAAAAACCTGGCACATAGTAGGCACTCAATAAATAGCCTTGGCTGGTGTAGCTCCGTGGGTTGAATGCAGGCCTGTAAACCAAGCCTGTGAACCAAAGGATCGTGGTTCAATTCCCAGTCAGGGCACATTCCTGGGTTGCAGGCCAGTTCCCAGCAGAGGACGCATGAGAGGCAACCATACATTGATGTTTCTCTCCTTCTCTCCTCCCCTTCCCCTCTAAGAATAAATACATAAAATCTAAAAAAAATAAATAATGGCTCTTACTATTCTTAATTTGGTTCTAAAATTCTATGAAAATCTAGAAAAGTAGTAATTTATTAACCTAATACTTTTGTCAGAGAATATTTTTTAGATAAACTTTGTTCTCTGTGGCTGAGGTCTGGCCCTAAGTGAAACATAGGTCAGGGGACCATTGTCCCAGCCCCACCCCCTCTGTTATTCCAACCTGGCTTTCCTGAAAAAAGAAAACAAAACCCTCCCCAGCACATGCACACACTAGGAATTCTGACCAGAATGTGACCAGAAGAACTACAGGCCACACAGTGGAGCAGGGCACAGGCCATGAAGGGTTTCTTCTGGGGCCCTGGGACTCTGCTCTGCCTTTTGCCCTTCCATCTCCTATTTCTGGCCTTAGAAAAAATTTTTATTTTATTTATTTTTAGAAAGAGGGGAAGGGAAGGAGAGAGTGGAAGAGAAACATCAGTGTGTGGTTGCCTCTCATGTGTCCTCCACTGGGGACCCAACCTGCAACCCAGGCATGTGCCCTGACTGGGAATCGAACCGGCCACCCTTTGCTTCACAGGCCCGCGCTCAATCCACTGAGCTACACCAGCCAGGGCTCTGGCCTTAGAATTTTAATTTAAGTCACTACCGAAAGCTCAGTGTGATTCAGCAGCACGTGGGGGCAGGGGTGGACTTAGGAATATATTGAAGCAGAGCAAACAAAACAGGGAATAGAAACGCCATCCAGGGAAAAAGCCCCAAGATTGTGGGTCGGGGTGAGGAGTGGGAAAGGGGCTGTGAGAGGTGAGAAGAGCATCTGTTAGGAAGCTCTTGGCTAAACACCTGTTGAGAAAAATGAGAGGGAAGACCAGGAAAGAGAAGTAAGACTCAAGTTCTTAAGAGGTGAAAAAGGACCCCTCTGTGGCCCTCCTTCCACAAAGCCTTCCCCCTCTCCCACCCACTCTGCGCTTGACTCGGGCTGGGCGTGTGGAGCTCAACCAGATGCGGCTCCTTTGTAGGGAAACTCATGGGCCTATGGCTGCTCCTTGGAGGTTCAAAGCCTTGCGGGATTGAACCTGAGCCTCAGACCTTGGCAGACTTACTCAAACCCCATCCTGGCCTGTGTGAAAATGAGGCAACGCTCTATCCACATCCACGTTTCTCCTTCGTTCGCTGACGCACAGTCCATACAACATTCGCAGTGGAAATGCGCATGCGTTTCCAGGTGTCGTCTGGCGGACACATTGTGCTTTGCAGCCTCCTAACTCTGGAATCCACTGACCTAATAAAATTACGCTCTGTATAAAATATAAAACAAAAGTGCACTGGATCACTACAAAAGCAGTTAACTGTATCTTTGTTCATTATTGACAGACTAAACCCTCAAATTCAACCAGTCAGGACTCAACAATACCCAACACCAGCCATCAGAGTTCAGTGACTTAATTTTTGTGCCATTTTAAAAGCAAATTTGATGAATTGAGATAATAAATAATTCGTGTCTGGTAACACCGATCAAACATGAGATCACAATGTTATAAGAGCAAAAACTTTGAATCAGGCCAATCAGAAGATAGAGAAACTTTATGTGAGACTTCAGCCTCGGGCAGTTATAAAAATGAGGGGAGGGGTGGGGACCGTGGTCTGTAAATTCATTCGGAGGTCTGTGGTATGTGCTACATTTCTGTGCTCATCTAAAACCACGGGAACATGAGCGTGATTGGGGTGACCTGTGTGTCCACGGTGGAGCAGGATTCTGCCTTGTGACTTCAAGGCAATATTTTGCATGTGGTTTATGATCAGTCTGGGGTCTTATGATTATCCTCAGTAATAGAGTGTAGCTATTAATGCAATCTTTTTCCAACTACAGCATTCTGAATGATTCCTCAAGCAATAAATTAGCTAAATATTCTCTTAAGATTTAGAAAGCTTTAGAATTCTTTGCAGCGTAGTGAAGTGACAGAAGTATAACGTAGCTGTTAAATCTCAATGTAGAGTGTGGAATAATCTCCGGTGTTACCCAAAACTTTTTTCCTTTTCTTCTGGAGCACTTAGATAAACTCAATTTCCCAGCCTCCCTTTCATTTAGGTGTAGCCATATGACTGAGTTCTGGCCAATGAACTGTGGGTGGGAAAGACCAAAACAGTCAAGATATAGATCATTATCACTGGGTACAAGGTCAGTATACAGAAGTCAATGTATTTCTTTATACTACAACAAACAATTTGAAAGTAAAATTTCAAAAAACCAGTGCCAGTATCAGTAATACCAAAAAGCATTGCCTAGGACTAAAACATAATAAAAGATGTGCAAGAAAACCATAAAACATTATTAGGAGAAATTAAAGAGTGAAGGAGAAAAGAGGAGTTATATACCATGTCCATAGATTGAAAGAATATTTTAAAGCATTAACTCTCCCCAGTTTTATCCATAGATTCAATTCGATCCCAAGAAAAATCCCCACAGACTTACAGACATGAGTGTAAAACCGACAAGCAAATTCTGAATGCAAAGTGCCAAGAAGAGCACAAACAATTTTGAGTAAGAACAAAGTTAGGTAAATTATTGGTTTTTAAGCTACCATAATTAAAAACATGTGGTATCAGTGACTGGGTAGACAAATAGGCGATAGTAATAAAACAGCAACTCTCAAACAGCCCACAAGGATGTGATCGCCTCATTTGCAACAAAGATGTATTGCAGTACAGCAGGGAAAGGATGGTCCTTTCAGTAAATGGTGCTCACTGTTAAGTATTCAAGTGGAAAAATCTTAACACCTGCAATGACCAAACACAAAAATCACAGCAAACCCTCCTCTTCTTGGTAGGGGTCCGGCTTGCGGAGGCAGAGAAAAGTAATGTAGGGAGGCAGAGGGAAGGGGCTCCGGCCCCCTCGGGCGTCATGTCTTCAGTGCCGATGGTTTCCAATCCGCCAGTTCTATCCTCAAGCGCCGGGACACTGGTAAAAAAAAAAAAATTACAGCAAAATCATAGGCCTAAATGTGAAAGGTCAAAAAATAAAGCTTCCAAAACATAACAAAAGTAATATAGACTATCTTCATGATTTTGGAATAAAGACTTTTTTAACAGAAAGCACTATCCCATAACAGAAAAGATTGACCTTCCATATTTTATTAAAATGAAAAACTTTTGCCCTGACCAGGTGGCTCACTTAGTTGGGTGTGGTCCCAGAAAGTGAATGGTCCCCAGTTCAATTCTGGGTCAGTGCACAAGCCTGGATCTGGTCACAGGTCAGGGTGTGTGCCAGAGGCAACCAATCAGTGTTTTTCTCTCACATCGATGTCCCTCTCCCTCCCTTCCCCTCTCTCTAAAAATAAATAAATAAAATCTTTTTTTCTTAAGTTATTAAATATTTAGCTTTTTTCTTTTTTAATTTTTAAAAGTTTTATTTGTTGATTTTAGGCAGAGAGATGAAAGGAGAGGGAGGAGAGAGAGATTGATTTGTTGTCCCACTTACGCACTCAATGGTCGATTCTCGTATGTACCTTGACCAGGGATCAAACCCAAACCCACAGCCTTGGTGCACCAGAATGATGCACTAACCAACTAAGCTACCTGACCAGGACTGAAACTATTTTTGCAAAATAGCACAATGAAGGGAGTGAAAAGGCAAGCCACAGAGTGTGCAAATATAATTGCAATGCATATAACTGACAAAGAATTTAGATCCAGAATAAGAAAAAGACAGATTACCCAAAAGAAAAGTAGGCCAAAGACCCTGAACAGGAAATTCTCAAAAGAGAACATTCCGGTGGTCCAATGAGCTTTTAAAAAAGTGCTCAGTAATGTTAATCACTAGGAAAATGAAAATTCAAACTACAATGCGATACCGCTGCTCTCACATCAACTAGCTAGATGAGAAAGGTAGACGACCAAGTGTCGGCAGGGACCCGGAGCAACTAGAACTCTCACGCAGTGCTGAGGGTGTGTAAATCTGAGCAACCACTTTGGAAAACTATTTGACAACATCCACCAAGGTTTTACATACGCTTGCTCTGTGACCCAGCAATTCTGTTAGGTAACGTACCCAATAGAAATGTGTACGTACCTGCGCCAAAGGACACATTCATAACAGCTTTGTTGATAGTCCAAAACTGGACACAACCCAAATGCCCATCAGCAGTGGAATGGATCAATTGTGGTGTGTTCGGGCCCTGGAATATTATGCAGCAACGAAAGAAAATAGACTGCTTCAAGCCACGATATGCACAAATCTCACAGACACGGTACGGTACAAAAGAAGTGGGTGTGCCTTCCCTAGGCTCTCTTTCCTCCTCTGCCGACTAAATAACGAGAACCTCAAGGACGTAGAAGAGGGTAGAGCTGTAAAATAGAGCCTGGTGAACACCGATACTGTGAATACTTACTGGGACAGGAACACACGCTTTGTATTGTGACCTGGAAATAACTGTGTTAAGTCACGAGAGTTTGGCGTTGATCTTTTTCAGCAGCCAGCAGTACTGCTGTATAGGGCAATGCACAACTAAGTGATAACAGACGGTATCGTCACAAAGTGCTGGAGAAGCTCATGACAAGGAGAGGCCACCAGGAGCTGGTGCTGTCAGGAAAGACCTCTTCAGGTCTGCAAGAGCTGGAATCAAATGCCTGGTAGGTCCCGGGCTGGTGTGGCTCAGTGGATTGAGTGCTGGCCTGCGAATCGAAAGGTCTTCAGTTCAATTCTCAGTCAGGGCACAAGCCTGGATTGCAAGCCAGGTCCCCAGTTGGGGGTGTGTGAGAGGCAAGAGATTGATGTATCTCTCCCACATCGATGTTTCTCCACCTCTCTTTCTCCTCCCTTCCCCACTCTCTAAAAGAAAAGAAAATCCTTTTTTAAAAAAAAGCCTGGTGGGTCGAGGGAGAAATCCTGACAGGTAAGGGTAGAGAGGCTGGGGCAGATGCTGTCTGAAGACGGATGGAGAGCAACTGTGCCTGCAGGTGGACCCCAGAGCAGGGCCAGCTTTTGCGGGCGCCCCTGTCATCCACTGAAGGGTCTTGGAAGATAAGGGTCAATTCTTTCCTCATGGATCTGCAGCCCACGGTTTGAAATGGCGTATGTGCTCCGCCCCCACATTCAGGACAGTTTCAACGGAAATGTATGTAATTTTTTTCTTTTAAAAACATGCCCCACTGTCTTCTCTCTGTTTCATAATTATCTACGTTGAAGAGAATTTATGGAGCCTGATGAATAGCTTAACATTTTTTCTTTGAACTTCCAGATGTTCTGACCAGATTCCAACATCTAGTTGACATTCCCAGCCCTTCACCAGAGCCCTTCGGTAATTTTCTAATCCTCCCAGGGACGTTCCTATTTCCTGCCGAGAAACAAGAAAACAACAGAGCTTCCCAAAGGGTGGTATGCTTCAGCCCCGAGGCTGGAATCTCCATTTTAGGAAAGTGTTTACAAGGGTGTAAAGCTCGCAAAGGAAATGGGACTCTGAGTATCCGGAAAATCCCCGAAAGGAGCGGGAGAGCTCCCTGTAAGGATTTGCGGCGTTCTTCAGCGGTATGGGCCTGTGTAGGAAGTACATTTTGATTACAAAATATATCAGAATGAAAGTGTATGGAACAGATCTGAGAAAAAGACAGGCAAAAACGGCCCCGACCTGGCACAGCTCAGCGGGTTGGGTGTGGTTCTGCAAATGGTCACTGGTTCCATTCCCTCGACTGGGCACAGACCTGGGTTGAGGGCCAGGTCCCCCAGGTGAGGGCTTGCAAGAGGCCCCTGATCGATGTTTCTCTGGCACATCAATCTTTCTCTCCTACTCTTTCTCCCTCCCTTCTTCTCTCCCTAAAAATAAATACAAAAAGTCTTTTTAAAAAAGGCAATCATAAAGGAAATGAGGGGGAAAAGGAGAGAAGCCAAAGGCAAATACTTCTTTACTTGCAAAAAGATCTCTTCAGTGCACTTACATTTTTTTTTGTTACAAAAATACTCAAACATACAAAAAATAATGTCATGAACCATCAGGTACCTGCCATCCAACTTCAACAATTATCAACATTTTGTCAATCTTTTTTGCCTATCTGCTTTTTTTGCTCTGGAGGCGAGATCAGCAAATTACACCCTATGGGCTAAATTGAACTTGCCTCCTATTTTTGTAAAGTTTTACTGGAAACCAGCCATACCCATTCATTTATAATATTATCTACACCTGGTTTCACCTCTGGCAAAGCTAGTAGTTGCGACTGAAATTTTATGGTCTGGGAAGCTTAAAATATTTGCTATCTTGCCTTTCACAGAAAAATTCACCAGTCTCTACACTGGAATATTTTAAAGCAAATACTGGACATCATATAGTTTCATTTTTAAATGCTTCAGTATGACTCTAACCGATAAGAGCTTTATTAAAGCCATGTTCATAGTAGAATTATTATAGCTAACAAAATGAATAACTTCTTAATTTCATCTAATACCTAATCTGTGTTTAACATTTCCCTAGTATCTAAAAAGGAAGTCTTTTTACAGTTGGCTTTCTCATATCATGATCTAAATAAGGTTCACACATTGCATTTGGCTAATATGTCCTTCCAGTGTCTCTTAATCCACTGATCCATTGTCATTTCTCCCTTACCCCTGTCCCCACTCACAATGCCCTCTTTTGATGACATTTACTTGTTGAAGAAACAAGACCAGTTGTCCTGTAGAGCCCCCACATTCTGATGAGGCTGGTTGCAACCTCACTATATCCGTTATCATGACCACAGTGCATTTTTGTGTCTGGGCCACATGAGGGTGACATGAGGAACTTCTAACTGCCTCCCCTGGGGAGGTGTGTGGAGAGATGTGGATGAGCAATCAGTCCAACTGGACCCCGTACTGCCACTCGGGGATGTGCAGGAGTGTCCATCAGAGCTGCCTTTGAGGCTCTGGTAAGTCAGACCCAGGAAGGAATCATGCTTCTTAAGTCTGTTGAAGCTCATGTTGCACAAGGAGGTGAGAATGAAATCATGTTAATGAGGACCGCCAGTTGAGTGATAAAAGAGAGAGTGATATACCATTTATAAAAATTAGAGGTACAAAGCAAATCAAAACAGCTCTACCTACTGGATAAGGACCCAGGCCTTTTCAAGGATCTACAGTGAACCCCAGGATGCGTGCCCACGGGGAAGGAGCAGGGGTGGGAGAGGCCGCGGACGAGGAAGAGGGAAGACCACGCAGCAGACGAGTAGGTGGTGCACTGACCCTTGATGTCGGGTCGCCCTGAACTGGAGAGAGGGATTAGCTCAACCCTCAAACAAATAAACCAACCAGAAGGGACTGTTTCCTTAAGAGAGACCAGCCTGTGTGTGATTGCCAAGAAAAGCCAATGTTTTTTGGAATCTGTTCCCAGTTTTTTGGCGGCGGAGACTGGTGAGCAGATCTGTCTGTCATCCCTCTAGCTGGCAAGGAGACCGAACTGAAATGGGATCCCCCACTCTGTGGCCACCCGGTCATCCTAGAGTCACAGAGGCTCAGCAGACTGGCCTTCACCAGCAGACAGACAGCAAGACCACAGAAGAGGCCTCCACCCGTGGGCAGGGGCAGCGTTTCCTGAGGGAGGCATAAGGGGTGCTGGACCAGGGGGTGCCGGAAAGGCAGCTACCTGGAAAGTGGGGAGTTTGGGCTCCAAAGACAGAACTTGCAAGAGAAAGCAACCCCACAGGACAACATACTTTTGAAGGCCTAGGTCTACAACTGTTATAGATTAAATTGTGTCACCCCCTCAAAAAAGATGCATTGGAGTCCTAACCCCCAGTCCCTCAGAATATGACCTGATTTGCAGATAGGGCCTTATAGAGATAACCAAGTTAATACAGGGTCACTGGGAAGTGCCCTAATCCAGTTTGACTCGTATCCTTATAAAATGGAAATTTGAGACATGTACAGTGGGAGAACACCATGCAAAAATTGTAGTTATATTCCCACAGACCAAGCAACTAGGAGAAAAGCCTGAAAGTAAT